GCGTTGAGGAGTTTCCGAAAAAAATCGTCATTTCAGTGCCGGAAGCAGTTATGGAACCTGGTGTTGCGGAAGCAATACGAATATATCTGGAAGAAGGTAGCGGAAGTAGTGAAACTGCTATCGAAGCAATGGTTACGGGATACAATGCATATGCTCAGGTTCAGGGCAATTTTTTTGTTTTGGGGGTCATCGAAAGTCTGGTTTTTAGGCTGTGAACATGATGTCTGATTGGCTCACTGCATTGGGTGATGTGCCTCCGGAAGAACCTGTGCAGGTCGCTCAACCAAAGAAAACGAAGCGAGGTCGACGAGGGGCAAAAACGGCAGCAAAAAAGGCAGAGGAAGAAGAGGCTAGGAGAAAAGAGGAAGAGAAAGCGAAAGAGCCGGATACACCGAAAAGTCCGACGAAGAAACATGAGGCAGAGAAGAGGTTGGATCCCTTCTATGGGAGAATGGGTGGGTAATCTTTGGAGCTTGGCTGTAATCTGTAGAGAATTTAGTGTCATTTGATGAACTCTTATTTTCACTATTGATATTTATAACTCTTTTGCAAACACTGAACCATGTTGCAATTCCAGAAGCAGTGAAAAGCGTCGAAAATACGTTAGCAGCACTTATAGCGAAACATTTCTCGCCTGATATCGCTGACACCATTTTTGAAGATGGAGGAGTGATTGAATGGCTGCCAGAGTTGATAAACCACAAGTAAGTAAAGCTTATAGATCCCATTTTCTTGGCATTTTGATTTCTTGAAAATCATACTTTTTCTTAAAACTCTAAACATTTGCAGGCGATGGCGAACCTTATTATATGAACTGATGGATCAATATCCGAATTGTCTTATGCTCAACTTTGCGGTAAAACTCATCTCCGACGCTGGATTCCAAACGGAGATCAGTACGGTCAGCTCCGCAGCACAGCAGGTAATCTAAAAGCAATAAGACTATTCAATTATATGTTTGTTTAGCCTGAAGTATTTTCGCGGTGGCTTTGTTCTGATTTAGTCATTTTTTAGCTTGATATATTTTCGAGAGTGCTTTTGACTTCAATTGATGCGGTATTGGTTGAACATCGTAAAGGATGCTTGACAGCTGCCTACGAAAAGGCCTTTGGAGAGTTGGTGAGTGAGAAAGTGGACCTTTTGGAGCTACAGTGAACTCGAGAAAATTGTTTTAGGTCCGAGTTGTATGCCAAGCAGAGCATACGTATGTCTATACTATAGCTTTGCTCAAGGTATGGGAGAATTGTTGATGCAAACGTTATTATCACTGTGCTTTTCCTTGTAGGCAGTAGGAACGTCACAAGGAGGGCGAATTTTAGCAGCTTGCGAGCAAATGGCTGATGCACTTCGAGCTGAGATGGAGGGCCGTGAGCATGAAACCACAGCCCTCCGGACAGCCCTAGCCCAAACAGCTGATGATCAGGTGAAAATACATCAAGTGAAGTACAATGTGAGTCATTTAATGTGTTTGTACAGGTGGCCTCACATTTTACTCAAGCTCTGCTGAATATGGTCAGCCGAGGTGAACTCAACCCTGCTGATGTGACGATTATTTATGATGTGGGTAATAGTATTATTGATTAATATATAGAATACTTTTTTTGTGATTATAAAGGCAACTTTTTTTGCGTTTTCATGTATATAATCTAACTTCTGTGATCTGACTTTGTGTGCCAATTCTTTCTTAGACTTTACCTGTTT